GTATATATATATATATATATGTGAATGCTGGTAATAGCTTTCTGCATGATATATTGCATACATGCATGCAGTGTCATTCTAATGCATTTGTCTTGGTTGTCCTTTACAGTGATGCTATTTTATTATATATATATATACACTATTAAATATAGTTTACAATTAAATTTATAAGTTTTGTAACATTTTTAATTTCCTTCTAAAATTGCAAACACAAGCAGTTATGCTACAAAATTGCATCAGTTTTATGTATTTACTTATTTTTAAATTTTTTTTTTTGTGACTGTTTTAATTGTAGATTTCATAGCACAAAGACAATCGTGTGTATCCATAATCACTAATGTGTATACATATATGTGATCAAGGAGAGCAATGTAATGTTGTGCAATGACATGGAGGGTGAATAAGAGAGATGGGTTTCGAGAGAAATGTTGACAGAAGAGAGAGAGCACAACCCGCCATCAGCTAAAGAAAATCTTTACGTGTTGTGGGAGTGTGCTCTTTCTTCTTCTGTCATCATCTTTGAAGCTGTCTCAACATTTGATCACCACCGTCAGATCCTGATCAAACAGCCCTTTGATTGTGGGATTGATGTAAGATCTCTAATCTAATCCCTCCAAATTAAGTTGTTATACTTGTTTATGATTTATTATAATGTGCATGAAAGATGATAAAACCAGTTTATTTAGTCATCCACTAGAATATCTTTTTAATAAATTGGAAAAAAAAAAAGAAGAAAAAAAAAAGCAGAAAAATTTAATTAGAATCTCCTTATCTTGTTTCATATAATCTAGTTTTCTAATTTTTTAATATATATGTGAAGATTCTTGCTACATACATAGAAATAGAATTTAGAATGAGACATTTTATATCTGCCTTCTTAGCATTAGTATATGTACACTCTTATCAATGTGAATGTTAACATGTCAATGTGAATATTTACATTATCAACGAGCTGGGCCGGGCCGGACCCACCCCGGGCTGAGGGCGGGCTTTTGGCCGCCCATGGGCCGCGGCCCAGTTTTATACTCTTATCAATGTGAATGTTAACATGTCAATGTGAATATTTACATTATCAACGAGCTGGGCCGGGCCGGACCCACCCCGGGCTGAGGGCGGGCTTTTGGCCGCCCATGGGCCGCGGCCCAGTTTTATACTCTTATCAATGTGAATGTTAACATGTCAATGTGAATATTTACATTATCAACGAGCTGGGCCGGGCCGGACCCACCCCGGGCTGAGGGCGGGCTTTTGGCCGCCCATGGGCCGCGGCCCAGTTTTATACTCTTATCAATGTGAATGTTAACATGTCAATGTGAATATTTACATTATCAACGAGCTGGGCCGGGCCGGACCCACCCCGGGCTGAGGGCGGGCTTTTGGCCGCCCATGGGCCGCGGCCCAGTTTTATACTCTTATCAATGTGAATGTTAACATGTCAATGTGAATATTTACATTATCAACGAGCTGGGCCGGGCCGGACCCACCCCGGGCTGAGGGCGGGCTTTTGGCCGCCCATGGGCCGCGGCCCAGTTTTATACTCTTATCAATGTGAATGTTAACATGTCAATGTGAATATTTACATTATCAACGAGCTGGGCCGGGCCGGACCCACCCCGGGCTGAGGGCGGGCTTTTGGCCGCCCATGGGCCGCGGCCCAGTTTTATACTCTTATCAATGTGAATGTTAACATGTCAATGTGAATATTTACATTATCAACGAGCTGGGCCGGGCCGGACCCACCCCGGGCTGAGGGCGGGCTTTTGGCCGCCCATGGGCCGCGGCCCAGTTTTATACTCTTATCAATGTGAATGTTAACATGTCAATGTGAATATTTACATTATCAACGAGCTGGGCCGGGCCGGACCCACCCCGGGCTGAGGGCGGGCTTTTGGCCGCCCATGGGCCGCGGCCCAGTTTTATACTCTTATCAATGTGAATGTTAACATGTCAATGTGAATATTCACATTGTCAACGGGCCGGGCCGGGCCCGCCCCGGGCCGCGGGCATGCTTTTGGCCGCCCATGGGTCGCGGCCCAATTTTATGCTCTTATCAATGTGAATGTTAACATTTCAATGTGAATATTCACATTGTCGACGGGCCGGACCGGGACCGCCCCGGGCCGGCTATGGGTCGCGAGCCGGTTTCGCGCCGCCACGAGATGGAGGTCAATTTTACACTTCTTTTAATGTGAATGTTAAAATGCTAATGTGAATATTCACATTGTCAACGGGCCGGGCCCGCCCCGGCTCGCTGCCGGGTTTCGGGTCTCCCACGGGCCAATTTTACATTTCTACCAATGTGAATTTTAAAATATGAATGTTCACATTATTAAATTGCTAATCGTTCAAAAAATATTTATAAGGGTATCAAAATTAAATATAAGGGCATAAGTGTCCAAGAAAATAGTGTAAATCAAGAAAATGGACTTTATGAAATAAAACTATACATACATGGGACTAAATGGGTTAAAAAATTCCTTTATGGACTTTTTGAGTTAAAACACTTCTAAATTGGACTTATCAATAAAAATTTTATGAAAAGTTGATATTAAATAATTAAAAAACATAAAAATATATGATAAATTGTGATTAGTGTGGAGGTGACACTCCAAACCAGCCAAAATTTTTTCCAAATTTTGTGGTTCGTTTGGCAATATCTAGGTTACAAAAATGGAGTGATGCATGGGCCACAAACTCCATATGCTACACGCCCCTGTACAAGTTGACGCCGACGGACACGGTCGTCATTCCTGATTCCCATTTTCAAGGATCGTAACGTTGTCCACGCGTCACCCATCCTACGGTCCACATTAAATCTAGTTTGTAACAACCACACACATCCATCCACCTGGCATCTCTCCAGCTATAACATGGCAATCAGTGTAATTACAGAACAAGACTGTGTCTTTTCCAGAACCTTCTCTTCTCTTAAACCTCAATTGTCTCTCTCGTCAAACCCCTCTTTCTCTTTCCGCCGCTCGCTCTTCCACTCTCTCTCACAGAAACCCCTCTCTCTCAGCCGCTATGGCCGGACTCTGCGGCTTGAGAGTGGCGGCGCAACCGGTGGCATTGCGTTGTCTGGGGATCACCACCGCCAGCCGAGCTTACGGATCGGCGGCCGCGATTCAGTACGACTACGACTACGAAGAGTACGAGAGCGAACCGTACCGGGCGATCGAGGACTCGGAGGGAGCGGTACGTGGAAGGGGAGTGCAGTGGGTGATCATGGGGGATCCACTAGCGAAGAAACACGTGTATGCCGAGGGGCTCTCGAAACTTCTTCATGTACCCCACATTTCCATGGGTACCCTAGTTCGCCAAGAGCTCCACCCTCACTCCTCCATCTATAAACAGGTTCGATTCTCTTCTCCCTCTGTTTGGTTGCCAAGAAAAAGCAGCGAAAATAAGGCAAATTGGACAAATTCTTTTCTTCCTCTGTTTTTTATTTATATGTCACAAGTTCTTTTGTTGTGTTTGCATTTGCAATCTGTTTTATATGTAACTCTAAAATTTATTATTTCGATTAAGTATAGGTTTAGAACTTGGGAATTGTAGGAAGTCGAAGTGAACGCATGAGATTGTGCTTCGATATAGTGTTAACGAACCAACAATATTCATGATTGTGGAACGAATTTATATATAATGAAGTTTTGAGTTATAATAGGGAAAATCATTTATAATGATCATCCTAATCAGTTTCATATAAGAATGTATGTAATTAAGTGAGCACCTGTTATGTTACACAGTCCATTGTGTGCTTCAGAGATGAGTGTGGAGTCTGCGGACTACATTTTTTTCAATTCCTTAGCAACATTTTTTTGTAATGTGAATTTATGGATTCATCTATTTTTAAATAGATTGCGAATGCTGTGAACCAAGGGAAGCTTGTTCCAGAAGATATAATTTTTGGTCTGTTGTCAAAGAGGTTGGAAGAAGGTTACTCCAGGGGTGAAACTGGCTTCATTTTGGATGGAATTCCGCGTACAAGAATCCAAGCTGTAAGATGTAGTTTTTCTTAAAGCATTTACACTCTCTTTGGAAGATACACATACCTGTAAATCAGTAGTCCTACTCACTTAACAACCACATCCTATACGTCTGTTGTAATTCCCTGAAATTTTGTTTATTAGGGCAAGAAACAATAAGACTTTACTCATTTGATTGTTAATGTGATCAGGAGATCCTTGACCAACTTGCTGATATTGATTTAGTCGTGAATTTCAAATGCACAGAGGATTCCTTATTGAAACAACCTATGAGAAATGGAATCTGTTCTCCAGGTCAAGAAATTCTCATGGGCAAGTCCGGGTTAAAATTAAATCTCCCATCACAGGACAATCTAAAATCTTCATGTGCTGATGCAGAAGGTGCCTGGAAAGAGAGACTTCGTATTTATGCTGAGCAGGTACACTTTAAATTGCTTTTGGATCAGAATGCAAAAAAAATAAAAAATAAATAAAAATAAAAATAAAAAATTATGACAATATGTCAATTTGAGATGATTCATTACGATTGCAATTGGTTCCGAGTATGTAGTAACAATTTTCAGTTTCTTTTATCATCTGTTGTTTCTTGTCTCATCAGCACTCTCTTGTCTTTTCATTTTCAAAAAGCTCTTATAAGGTTTGGTTGTGTTGAGGGCAAGTATCATGGATATTAGTAAAAACAGTTAGTTTTGATAGCTAGTTTAGAGAGAGCCTTTCTGATGAATCTCTTGGTTTCTTTTCTTTTTTTTTCCCCCCACCTTTTTTGGGTCTTATTCATTTTGATTTTCAAAAACAACTAACTTAGGCTTGAAGATAATGGTGTTTGAGCATGATACTTCTATGATTATTGTTTGAACCTTATGCTCTATTTTGTGGGAGTCTTGTGCTTTCTTCTGTTGTCTCTAATAACATTACTCTTGAGACATGACGATAGGCTTCAAATTTGAAGAGAGAATTGCATCACTTGATCTCTGAAAACATGTCGCTTGACAAAATGCTCTTTTGTGTTTTTTTTGTAATTTGTTAAATCTATGCTAAGGGGTAGTAAGATTTGAGTTGTACTTTTGTCATTACAAGAACTGCATTGAAAAACAATTTTCACCCTTGGCGGGTCCGGGGCAGCGCCACGGCGGGGTTGAGGGGCAGCGCCCCCGAAGCAAAATGCAAAAATGCATTCAAAGTAGCCTGTCCGATCATGTTATATTTTTCCAGTTTTTCCATTTTTGGCCTTCCCGCTCGAGCAGGGAAAGTGACGCTCGAGCGGAGATTGGAAGCTCTCAGCATCTCTGCAGTCGCCTGTAAAAATACTGGAATGTGTGATTTTACGCGCGAGCGGATGCTCCTACGCTCGAGCGCATCTCAGTTTGTTCGCACGCAGTTTTTGGTCAGTCCGCTCGAGCGGGCTGTGTTGAGCTCGAGCGGAGATCGCGGGACAGATTCTATAAATTCGCGTGTTGGGACAGATTTTAAAAAAACTTCTCCAGATCTTCTTTTTGGTTTCTAGGGTTTATATCTGGGGATACTTTGGGAGTTTTCTTTGATGTTTTTATTGAGTATTCAACTCATGATCTAAAGAGAGTACATCAAAGGTTTGTTTGTTATACACAAAAGAGAGAGTTATTCTTCAGTTGTGGATTCTGAAGAATTCGAGCCTGAAGCTTTGGTGGAATCCAGAGTGGCTCATCAGAAAGACAATTCCGTGGTGAAGATGGGGTTGGAAGAGGCACATAAAGGTTGGTTCAATTAGGCGTGGATTCGCTAGGTAATTGAGAGTATACCTGTGTAATTCCTTGA